ATAAGGACAAGATCGATAATGAAAAATCCCTTTTTGAGATAAGAAGTCTGTAAAATGTAATTCGGGAGCATTGTCAGTCCTAATGGCTTTAATAGAAACACCAAACTGAGTTTGTATCAAAGAGAAAAATTCTGGGAACTTAGAAGAAACATCAGACTTCTGTTTAAGCAAATAAATCCAAGTAACTCTTGAGTGATCATCCACAATAGTAAGAAAATATCGAAAACCATCCACTGTAGGGGTATGAAAAGGACCCCAAATATCCAAATGTAACAACTCAAAAGGAGTAGAAGACATATTGTTTTGAAAAGGAAATGATAAATGCTTTTGTTTAGCCAAGGGACAAACATCACAAGGTATATCAGAATCTTTGTTATGTGTAAAAGTAATCTGTGAAGAACTGCCCAAAGCTTGAATCCGGAGATTAGAAGGATGTCCCATGCGAAAATGCCAAAGATCAACTGTGGGAGAGGCAAGAGCAGAACATGAAGGAGGAGAAACAGAAGACAGAAGAGAAGAGGGATGTTGCATCTCCAAGACATAAAGATTATGCAACTGTCTACCCTTGCCAATTGTCAAGCCCCGAATATGGTCCTGGATGATGTATGAATCATGAGTAAAAGACACAGAGAGAGAAGTATTATGAGTAAGTGAACTGACACTGATCAGATTAAAGGAAAAAGAAGGAATGAATAAAACTGTATCCAAGACCAATGACTCAGAAAGAAAAACAGGACCAGCAAGAGAAACAGAAACCAAATCACCAGTAGGTAATGTGATTGATACTGTAGGAACAACACGCAATTCAGAAAACAAACGTTTATCACAACAGATATGACAGCTCGTACCAGAATCTAAAATCCATATCACTGAGGGAAAATGAAGGCCAGGAGTTATAGTAGAAGAAATGTAGTGAGAAGTACCTGGGGCAATAGAAGATGGTGAGGCTGAAAAACTTGATGTACTGGAAGGCTGAATCTGATTCGAGATTTGACCTGCATACTGGGCCAAAAATTCCTGTGCCTGCTCCAAAGGATTCCTCATAGAAAAGGAATTAACCAAACCACCAGTCTGATGAGTTTCAGGACCAACCTTAGCAACAGTAGAACTGACCATGTTCACAGGTCTAGGAGATCTATCAAATGACTGATTCCGAGGTCTAGCAGGATTCCAAGGTCTTAGAGTAGAAGATGGTGGTTTGTATCCAGGTGGAAAACCATGGATATAATAGCATCTAGCAACTGTATGACCAGTCATACCACAGTGTGTACAAACTGGACGAGGCTTGTCAGATTGAGGAGGCCGAGGTCTAGGATGATTAGGATAGAAAGAAGGTCGAGGGGCAAGCAAACCATAAGCAGCATTGGGATCAAAAGGTGGTTTAACAAGGAAAGCAGCTTGGTCAGAGGAATTTGGTATAGCTAAACGTTGTTGATCCTCTTGAGATAAGGGATCCATCATCATAATTTGTCTTCGCACAGGTGTATAAGAATCATTTACCTGCATCAAAAATTTCACAACATTTCGACGATTGTAGATCTCAATCCACTGTTCTGGAATTCTACAGGAGCATCCACCACATGAACAACCACCGCATTTGCACCCACCACAAGTACAAATCGGATGAGGCTCATAATTCCTCAATTCTTCCCATAACAGATTCAACTTGGTATAATAGGTATTCAAATCCAAAGATCCTTGATGTAAGGTATCGATGAGTTTTTGAATATTATATAGCTTTGAAACATTACTCTGCTTAAAACGCTTCTCAAGATGAATCCATGCCTTGTAGGCATCATCAATATAAGCTAAGAGACTAGCAATATCAGGAGTAACTGCATTAGTAATCCAGGTAAATACCATATCATTGGCGCGCGACCATAGATCAGCATCAGGATGATGTGGAGGAGGCTTCGGCACAGTACCAAAGATGAAACCAGCTTTGTTCTTCGCATTCAGAGCCTTGATAAACGCTCTGGACCAAACACCGTAATTGGACTCTCCACGAAGACGATCCGAGACCAACTGAAAATTCATCGAATCGGCAGCATGAAGAAATAAAGGATTTGAGTAAGGATCCGCAATCGATGGTGACGAAGGAGTAGCACCAGGTGTAATCGGAGGACCAGAAACAGACACCGGAGGAATCGGAGCAGATTCCATCGGAAACAACGAAAGAAAATCAAAGGAAGAAAAAGGAACAGGGAAGCTTCATCGCTCTGATACCATTTCAGAAATTGAGACTGGGTTTTCAGAGAGAATAAATTTGAGCCAATTTTCGTATATTCAAAATAAGAAGAGAAACCAGAGTTTTTATACATCGAGCTGTAGCAAGGCGGGAATAATGAAAATATTCAAAAAGAGCTAAAAATAACAAACCGAACCAACAAACCAGAAGAAAATAACCGATATAAACCAGCAAGATTGCTCTCCTTGATAAAGTTTAGCATATTTCTGGCGAGTGGGCACACTGATACTTATTTTTTATTTTTTTTTTATTTTATTTTATCACTATAATAAGGTCATTTTCAATCTTTGTATTTTTCCTTTTTTATTTATGTATTTATTTACCTTTTGTTTTTATATAACAATATTGGGCCAGCAAAAGTTTGAAATTTGTCCATTTCTAACATAACATCTCTGAGTTGGGCCCATTCCTTTGATTGTGGGCCGATTCTTTGTGAAGCGTCCATCCATCCGTTTTACATAGAAAATTGTTATTTCTATAAAAAAAAATATATAAATATCTAAATTTTTATAAAAAATTCTACATAAATATCTGAACTATAAAAATTCTATATAAATATCTAAATTTTTAAAAAATTTATATAAATATCTAAATTTTTAAAAATTTCTCAAATAAATATAAATTTCAGGTATTTTTTAAATAAAAATAAGTGATGTTATTAATGGATTTTGGATTTATTTGGAAGTTTTTCAGAAGTTTAGATATTTATGTAGGATTTTAGAAAAGTTCCGGTATTTATATAAAATTTTTATAATTCAGATATTTATCTGAAATTTTTATAAAAGTTTAGGTATTTATATGCGATTTACCCTTATTTTTAAATATATAAAACATTTAATTATTATTAATTAGGGATAAATTTGGAAAAAATATGAAAAATCTCAAAACGTTATTTATTTTGAAACAAAAATATTATTATAAAACATCTATCTAGCGGAGTATTTTGTAAGCAGTACCATTTTTTTCAATCTCTTTATAATGTACTAGGCAAGCACTTCTTGATGTCCAATTAATAATAATTTTAATACTAATATAAAAAAAATTTATCCATTTACTACCGTGATTAGTGATGTTATATAGTTACATATTTTTGTAGCTTAAATTCTGTATTATAATTTATGGACATTTACATAAAAGTATATATGTTTTTTTATTATAACGAAACATAAAAAAAGAAGAAGCTCTTTTCGCATGAAACATCGAGTCATGTTTTTTTCCATAATTTACTCTCAATAACATATCATAACAATAATTAAAAAATATAATAATATTTGATATATAATCTTTGATTTTACAATTGATTTATGAATTGTGGATACTAAAAGAATGTAAATGATTGGATCAATTTTAAAATGGGCTATTTTTGGGCTCAATAGGATTAGTGGGCCTAGACATGAAGGGCTTTTAAGCATTTCACTAGAAGCAACGGCTAATTATCATTCCTTTATTTCACAAATCATTATTATTATTGGAATCTATTATTTGTAGTTGATAAAAAAAAAAGCTATAAGGCAAATTGAAACAGTACATTAAGAATTTAAGAATATATATACCAAAATAACAATCAACACCACTTAACCACGTACCAAAATAAATAAATAAAAAATTGGTTTAATATTGGTATTTTAATCTCAGATAATGGAATCTCAATTATGTATTCAGCAAATCTTAACAAATTTTAATATACTGTTTTATTTTATTATCCATAAAGACAAAACATCCATCCTTCTGCTCCAGCTTTCACAGCTGTCTTTATGATTGGCCGTCCTCACCAATTTCTCATATCACGTCGCTGTCACAATACGCTCATAACTGACCAATCAAAAGCATCGTTCATAGATGGCTCAACGGTAATCTTTGACACGTGTCTCTCTGTCATTGGTTAGCATGTGCTTTTATTCTTGTTTTTCCTTGAATTGTACCAAGTCTCTCTTCAGTTCTTCCATTGCTATCAGAGTTCGCCCTCACATTTTTTTTTTCTATTCATTAGTGACAAAAAAATCATTTCCGTTTCTTCTTCTTCGTCGTCGTTGTGGCTATGGCGACTGCTCGAGAAAATCGATTAGCAGAGGCGAGCGAAACGGTGCCGTTAAATGGGGGCGAAGAGAACAAGCACCACGTGACGGCGTCTGTGACGGAGGACGACTTCAGCGAAACGGCGACGTTTTGCGGATGTGGGTATTTCCATAATTTCTGGGTAATGCGGTGGAGAAGAGACAGCGAAGCTCGCGGCGGCTAGAATGGCGATTTACAGGAAGAGAGAGGGGAAAGCTGGGTGAAGATGAAAATGAAGGGGCTAAAAGAGATGTCGGAGAAAATTGCGGGGCCAAAGTGGAAGAATTTCATAAGAAGTTTTAGCAATAACAAGATGAGGAGTAGGAGGAACCTGGCGGATTTCACGTACGATCCCAGGAGCTATTGCCTCAATTTCGATGACGGCGAACGTCCTTCTATCGATTACACGGCGAGATTTGCGGCTCCCGTTCTCAAAAACGGCGCGGAGTTTGCCGCCGATTCTTCTCTTCTTTGACCCCCAAAAAAGTTTTGCCTTTTTTCGTTTGTTTGTTGTTTTGAATGAGGTCATATACTATGTGAAACTGTACAATCGAGGTTTATTTTGTTTTTGTTTATTAGAAATGTTTCATTAACCAAAAATAAAATCTGATTAAAGCCCTTCTAATAAAGTAATAAATACATTAAAGTCAAATTAATAAGCTATAATTGTTTGTATATAAAAAGTTAAAATTGGGAATATGGAAAAGGTTAATAATATAAACTGTACATTCCAAAACTCTCACTATATCATATTCACAATATATGAAGAGGAGGTGTTGATGATACCCAATATGATTTCATAATTAAAAAAAAAAACAAAACAAAACTCATATCAGACAAAAGCATTTTCACTAAATCTTTTTTTAAACAAAGCTATGTAAAAGGGCGCACGCGTTAATATAACTTCTCTACTTCTGTCTTGGTTCGAATCTCTAAAGCCCCCTCCTATCCATTTCCACCTGTGTGTGAGAAAGAAAGAAGCTCATCTTCTCTTTCTATCAACCTATGTTTTGGTCCAATTTCCTCCATGAGAGCAGCTCCACACACACACACATATACATTTGTTCTATGTGAAACGCTCTCTGCTGCTGCTATTTTCACCTGCATGGCTTCATCAAAGGGAGCTTGAGTTCAGTGAATCGACGAAATGCTCGGGAAATAAGTTTAAAAGTTTCGGTTTTTCTTTTCTAAATGTGTTTCAGTCATTGAACCCATTGAACCTTAGAATCATTAGCATTCTAAGACCAAGCAAGGCTCGAAAAACTGAAACTCGTCTAGACGGGTCATTGTATACGTGGAAGGGGGGAAAAAGATTGCACCAAATGTTATGTAGGAGGGTATGTATGATGTCCTATGTTTTGATTATGCATTTACATATATCTATCTATCTATCTATCTATCTATCTATCTATCATGATGTTGGTAAGTAAAGTACCTTTTGCGTTTGTTCTTCAAGACAGTGGAAGAAGATGGATTGCTGTGCCAATTCCTCTTTCTCTGATTGATGAACCAATTGTTAATCTGTTTAAGCTGCAAACCCGTCTCCTGCACCAACCTCGCCTTGTCCTCCTCCTGCGACAAAGATCTTACTCGGTCTAATCCTCATGGAAAAAGTGGAGATTATGTTGGGAAAAAGAGTCTGGGGAAGTGACTGACGGTGGGATAGGGCCACTTGGAATGAGATTGCCACCATGCTTTGAGAACAGAGGTTGTGTCTCCTGGTAGTTTCCCTGCTCTTCTCTTCCTCAGTATCTCCTCTCTTATGTCTACTATCTTTTCTTTGTAACCCTTTCATTTCCCAAAAAAAAAAAAGATTGGGAAGAACTTCATTCAGACAAAACTGGCAACAAACGTTAAGAGTTGTAGGACTTTTTGGAAGAGTGAAGGAGAGTTACCTGCTTGAGTTCATGTTTGAGCTCTTGTCGAACTCGTTCCATCAAGGATCTCTCGGTCTCGGTGGGAATCAGAGGACCAAACCCTAAGCCGTCTAAGCTTCCATCAAACATATTAGCGTCACTCTCTACTTGTTCATCTTCATCATCCGACATTGTAGCTCCTGTCCCTTCCCCAGGTGATACTCCTTCGCACCACCCCACCATGAACAGTTTAACGTCAGATATTAAGACAACGCTAACAGTTTTGCCATGGAAAAACCATACATTGGTCCGAAAAAACAATCTAAATCTCGAGCTTTTCGTTCGTGGGTATAACCCGAAAACTATTTGTGACCAATCAAGGGAAGTGAGCATACAAATCAAAATGCTTCCCGAGTGGGCATAGTGTAGGAAAAGAAGAGCAAAGGGGTTTACATGATTCATCAAGAGAGTGATTGCTTTGTATGCATGTGTGTGATTACGTGAAAGATATATATATATATATATATAAGGAAGCAATATACGTACAAATCAGAAATTGTCAATGAATAGATAGTAATACCTGTTAAGCTTTGAAGAGATTGCTCAATCTCCCAACAGGCCATGACGGCTTCCATTGCATGGACTCGGACATGCTGTTGCAGTTGTTCTTTGAATGAACACAGCAACAGCACATAATGCGTCTGCGTTTATATTCATTCATGAATATGTAAATACTCCCATTGCAAAAACCAGAGAATCTTTCTCTTCTATCAAGCAAATGGATCATGTCAATGTCCAACCATTAAACACAATATCATATGATCTAACAATTTATATATGTATATATCTTCCGGAGGATTGAATTGAATTCTCTGCGTAATATTTTCTAAAGTTTGAGTGGAGTGACCCATTGGCATCCCCCAGGTGTCGGTGCTGTGGCATTACATACAGTCTAAATACTGATATCCACATGATAATTTAGCCCTTTTTTTTCATTCTCCGATTTCATGAAAAAAATTAAAACTCTAATCATAATCTTCACCATTGTCAAAGCTTCCAGTTGTAAACGGTAAAGAAACAACATGAAAATGCAAAAAAAAAAAAACAAGCCAGAATTCAGACAGAACCCAACACGTAAAAAAGCCAGAATTTCGAATTTCAAATCATTAGATTTTCTGAAATGGAAGAAAAGATTAATCTGAATCCAAAAAAAAAAAAGAGGGCAAGGGAGAGAGAGTACCATGAACTGGTCAAGCTCCTTATCGTCGCCGACGAGTCCCTGAGAAGGTCCTAACGTGGAGTACTTGGAGACAACGTGCTGCGACTGCGCCAGCTGTGCGTCGATCCTCGGCAGCTGATCCACCGGCGTCGCTATCCTCAGGCACGCCACGTGTGCCGACAACAACTGCTCGTACAGTGGATGCGACAGTATCTCCGCCTTGTTCCTCGCTTCCTGCCAGTTCACCACCCCCTCCGCCGCCGCCGTTCCTCCCTCCGCCTTCTCTCCTCCGCCTCCCTTCATCTCCCCTCCCATCACCGCCTCCACCGCTCCTCCGCCGACGTCGTCTACGACATCGCTGGCGGCTCCGGCAGTTGTGGCGCGTTGGAGGATGGAGGAGGAGGAGCGAGATAGCCACTGGTTTGCTGCGGCGGGCGGGGGGGGGGGGGGAGG